TCACATGTGTAAATCCAGTGGTTTGTCTGGGACTTGTAAGGTGGTCTATCCCATACTTCTGTTCTCAAAGTTCTTGGTGGATCTTTTAGAGTCATGTCTACATGTACACAGCGCAGAGCTTGGAGGGGGGTAAAAACAGTAGTTCACATGTAATTTTATGGAATTGGCGTCCCAAGATCTTGATTTTTTATTACTTCCCAGATACATTCTGGTTCTCGAGGATTCTTTGTCCCTCTGGCCAGAATCAGTTATCTCACTCTGCCATAAACTCACTGCAACTGTATCCGTGTCTGGAGCACACAGCAGCAGAGAAAAAGAGAGAAAGCAAGTAACAGAATTTTGTCCCACCTTTTGGTTTCCCCAGTTTCCATCTCTTGAAGTTTTAGGCACATGTGGGCTCTCACTGCTGCCACTGTCACTACAGCCAACATTCATACAGGAATTCCCAGGGGAGAGAGGTATAAGAGACATGGAGGGAGGCAGAACCAAGGGGATTTCTTCCACTGTGAGGATGTTAGGAGTCCCTTACATGCTCTTTTGATAAAAACTAAATGGCTTCTCTGGAGATTTCTCCTGTAGGTCTCTCTTTGTACACAAGGTTCCCACTTCAAGGATTTGGCTGCAATGGGTCTAGGCTTCAGGATATCAGAAGATATGAAAAGAATAAGAAACACACCATCATTTAGTGGTACTTAAAATTTTGATTTTCCTCAGTCCACCTGCTACCATTTAGTTTTCAGAGTGCTCAAATATCTTTTCTATGCATTCACTATAAGTTATATAACCATATTCAGAAAAAGGTACGGGGTATTGTATACTCATTCCATCTTACCTGGAGTCACAGTCCCCTCCTGTTTTTTGTGCTGGTGATGTCACATAGTTTCTGACTATAGATAGGTTTTAAACATCACAAGATATAACAACCATTGTTTTAAGAGTAAATATTTTTTATATTTTCCTACAAATTTAACCTCCTCAGTTTTCATTCCTTCCTGTGATTCCATAATACCATTTGGAATAACTTTCCTTTAGCCTAAGGAACTGGCTTAATTTTATTTTCTTAGCTTTTGTTTGAAGGCACTTTTATTTTTTTCATTCTGAAGGAATTTTACAATGATTATAGAATTCAAGTTTAGCAGCTGCTGCCCACCGCCCCCCACCTTTAAAGACACTATTCTAGTGTCTTTTGATTATACTAGTTTCTGTTTAAAAGGTAGCCATATTTTATGGTTTCCACCATGAAGCTTTCGTGTCTTTTTGTGCACTTTTAATATTTTCTCCTTGTCTTTGTTTCTTATGGCTTCTATTTCTCCACTGTGATTCTGTTCACTGTGACATATTTTCCTTTAAATACTTGAACAGAGTTTTGTTTAACATAAAAGAGCTACTTTCACATTTCTTTCCTGACAGTTCCTACATCTGAGTTACCTCAGAGTCAGTTTTCTTTCGACTGCTTTGTCTTGAGTATGAATCACATTTTTCAGTTTTTTCACTTGCCTATTAATTTTTATTGTATGCCTGACATTGTAAATGATACAAAGTTGTCTTCCTTTAATGCATGTTGTTTTTAGTCTTGTAAATTCCCCTTACCTGTCTGTTTTTATTATTTGTAGAGTGGTGATATAAGGAAACAAAATTTTGTAATTTTTTCCTATGACATGCTTTTTGCACAAAGTCATGACCCTTACTTTAGAGGGATAGCCTGTCTAGCATCTCAGCTAAATGTCTGAAGTGCATAATGAGGTATCTCCACCCTGCTAAAGCTGTAACCCCAGTGTCTCTCAACACTTCGTGACATGCAGAAGGCATTCTCTATTAGGCCTTACAGAGTCTTCTCATGTACGTGTTCAGTCCAGCTCTTGGCCAAGAATCTGTGGTGAATCTCCATGTAGACTTGTGAGGCCTCCCTTTTCATAGCTATCTATTTTCAAATATGCTACCCTGCTAATTTTAGCTGCTTCAAGAGTATAACACTAAAATCTTTTTCTCCTTAATGAGTCTGTTGCTCTGCTTGGATTCCATTTTCTTGCAATGCAGAACAAGTGCTCTTAAGCATAAAAACTAGGACAATTATGGGAAAGTTGTGAAACACACCTCCTGTGTTTTCCTTCTCTCAAAATTCATAGCTGTGTTGCACACCAATCCCTGAAAAAAATTGCCTCATCTAGTCTTGTCCAGTCTTAGAAATTATTTTAGTAGGAGAATAAATCAGGTACTTATTACTCTCTCATGACCAGAAGTAAGTTTTGGGGGCTCATTTATTGAAATGCGCATTGAGATTTAAACCACAGATATTAGAACTCTTCCTAAAAGTAATTTCTGACAAAAATAGGTAAGTGTGCTTAATAAAAATTTTACAAGTGACTAAAGGGAAAAGGAAGAAATGTTTTAAGGGCATTGCAGAAAAACTTCAAATTTCAAACTTAACCTATGTTGTTATGTATATGATACTCTTAGAAGTTAAAAAAAGGTACATATTTTTTCTTTCCCATCCTTGACCTGTCTTGTTAATACACAATGTTCTCTCTTAAGGTCATGGAATCTCAGTTGGAGATATTTGACCTTTGAATCATTGGTTAGTGAGTAGCTAAATTAGGAGACACTGTCTTAAGAAGTTGGTTCAGACTGAAAGGCAAATGACTATTTGGTTTTAGAAGTAACTCTCCATTTTTAAAGGGTGGAGATGGTTTGGTAGTAAATTAGTTCTTTCTCCCAGCCCTGGGAGATTAGACAAACAATGGATCTAACTAAGAAAATAGACTGATTCATTTGGCTTCAATGCTATACTGAAGTTACGAGCAAACTAACATTAATATTCAGAAAAAGAATTGTGTTCTGTGTACTGTACATGAGTTTTACAGTCAATTCTATTATTTCTCATTGAAGAAACCCAAAATCAGACATTAAATTCATAGATCTAAAAGGACTCTGAACCCTGTCTGTCCTTTTCTCACCATCTGCTATAGCAACACTGAAGTTATATGTAATTTACTTCATCATTTATTAACTCTTCTTTAGGATAGTAGTTTTATTGCAAGAGAAGTGGAGTTTGCAATAATTCTCTTTCCTCCTTATTTTCTCGAGCATTTCCAAAGTTCTTCTAATAGTAAATGTCTTATCTTCAAAGTGAAATGTCCATTAAGATAGCAGGTGCAGGAGAGATAGGAAAGTCAGACCTGTCAGGCATGAAAAGAAGTCGTACGGAGCTAATAACAAGTCGTAAGTGAATAGGAGTGGAGAATGTGAGGGAAATGGAATCACAAATCTGGAAGAAACAAGTCATCTGGTTTAAACTGCCTCTAGACAGGTCAGGAAAGGGGTGTTTGGGTGGACCTTTTTTTACATCTGGATTTAGCTTCTCTTGAACTTTTTCAGCCTTTTGCCTTTCACCAAGGCTGATTTCTTCTCTACAATCACGTGTGACTTCTCCTCCTGCCCTAGGATGAAGTACTTTGGGGTGGATTTAATTGGTTTGTGGAAACAGTCCATTTTTTTCCCTAGAGGTCTGTTTCAGGTTTAGGTCATGTCATTGTCCTCGCCAACCACTGAAGGGCAGATCTCCTGGTCAGTGGATAAATTCCCTGAGCAGATAGAAAGGGTCCCTACACTGATGGTCACATGCTATGTATTTCTAACTGCCCTTAGTTGTGAGGACACAATATGGTCAGGTGGGCTGAACTTTTCAGTTTCAGGTCTCCCGTCTATGACAGAAACGTACAAATGCCTATGTTTTCCAACATATACATCGACACCCTACATTATTCGCTGGTAGAAGTGGACTGTTGGCAACTTTTGGTTTCTCTGGAGCCACCCATCTCTTCTACATGTCCCAAGTGTGCGGATTTTACTGCAAGAGACTGTGGGTAAAGCAGGGTAGAATTAAATTTTAGCTTACTCTTCTGCTTCGACCAGAAAAGCGGTTTGTGAGCATAAGTCCAGAGGTAAATGCAGTTTTGTTGCTGCTTGGTGCCTATAACATCACACTCCCTCCCTCCCCACCACCCTCCACCAGTGTGTGCACTGCTAGAAGAAACGCACCGCCCCTCCCTAGCGACAGGCACAGACCGACCAGAACTTTCCCTGGGTCGTGGCCCAGCGATACGAGCGGCCCTGGCATGAAGCCCTGCTCTTCCCGAGTGGAGTCGTGGGTGGCTCGTGCTTGTTTCCCTCCCCTCCCTTTCCGGACCCAAACGGGGATGTATCTGGGTCAGCCTGGGATGGGCCGGACCTGCCTAGAACCAGCGCAGGGGGAGGGGGCGGGAAGGGGTGGCGATGACAGCATCTTTCAGGTTTTGGGCGTTTCTGAGCTTCGCCCCTTCCAGCCCCTCACTGCTCGCGCCGCACTCACCCGAAGACTGGGTGGGGGGAGAGCGGGTTCTTCCTAACTAGAGGGCCACCCCCGTATGCCTTGTGAACAATGTGGCGCTCGCTACCCACCTCCAACACACACACGCGCGCACACACACACACACACACTCCCCCCGCCCCCACCGTGTTCCCCAAGGCGTGCTCTCCGTGCGGGCTGAGGGTCCCTCCACCCCAGGAAAAGAGCAGTGAAACAGTTCACGGCCACCTCGTGTTCCTGGTCTTCCTTTCCGGTGATAAACGGCGGGGCTCTGAGCCAATTGCTGCTCAAGATGCTACACCCACAGCCCGAGCCTCTCTCTCTCTATGTCGTCTGGGGTGGGGGGGGCAGATTCAGGACAGAGAGGGTCCCTTTACCTCCACAAATCTCAAAGGCTGAGTGCCAGGGCTGCGGGAGGTGGCCCCCCCGCTGGCCCCTTGCTGCCCGAGTTCCTCCCTCCCTGATCTTTTGCTCTCCACAACGTGGGGGGGGGGGGGAGCTGGGTGTAGGTCAAAGCCGCATCTTCCCAGGACGCTTTGGCCGAGGACTCCTGGGTGAGGTCCGGAGGGTCATGGACCTTCCCGGCTCCCCTTGCTGCGAGCTTTCTATATAAGCCCAGCACCAAGAATCAAGGCCACCAAGTCTTCATTTTCCTGAGGCCCGGCCCCTCCCTTCCCATCCTTGCCCTGCATAAACTCAGCAGCTCCAAATGTGCATCTCCTCACTCTTTCTCTCAGCGTTAGGGAGCGCGATGCCTTGAAAATCGTCTCTGTGTTCCGACATTCGGTACAGTTATCTCCTTACCCCTGCTCTCGATTCCCTACGTCGCACACCCCGAGACTTCTGTTCGCCGGAGGGCAGCCTAAGCCCACCCTGAACGCCGGTCCCTGTGGCCAGAGCCCACTGATGCTCTTCGGTTGGAAGCCTCCCGAAAGGTGCCTGCCCCCGCAGGAGCCCTTGGCCGTAGGAGGTGTTCCTTCTTCCCCACCTCCCCTCGCCTGCAGACAGCTCTTGCCACCCTTTCATCCACCCTTGGATAAGCCCCGCGCCCCTCCCTGCTGGCGCCCTGCAGAGCACCCCCTCCCTTGACTGAGCCCCGGCGGGTGGGAAGCGGAGCTGGCAGGGGCGCGCGGGAGGTGCACGGAGCTCCCCGGCTGCTGGCGCTGGCTGCGCCTGGGGAATCGGGCTGTGGGCGAGCGGCCTGCGCTGGCCTTTATCACTTGCCCGGCTTGTCGTTTGAAACTTTATCAGCGAGTCTCACCACTCTCTGCAGACCGAGCAGGGGGCGGGAGCGCTGCGAGGCGCCAGTGGTGGTGAGGAGGCGCTCCGGGTGCTGAGCGCTTCTGCTCTGGGCACGCATGGAGCCCGCACACGGAGTCTGACCTGATGTGGACTCAAGGGGGTTAATATGAACGCCCCTCTCGGTGGAATCTGGCTCTGGCTCCCTCTGCTCTTGACCTGGCTCAGCCCTGAGGTCAGCTCTTCATGGTGGTAAGTCCACGCGTGAGGGCACGGTGGGGGCGGTGGGGGGGTGGTTTTCGATGGATCGCGGTGCTCCCCCATGGCCCCCGGCAGTCACGGATTCCAGCCCAGACCCTGGTTGCTGCCCTGTCCTATCGCCGCATCCTGAGCTCCTTCTCTTTTCCTCTGAAGACCATTCCAACTTTGACAATTCCAAAAAACCCACATTTCCCCTCAAATGAGAGCTCCGATGTTTGGTTTGTTTGGATCCAGCTGAGCGGCAGCAAAATCAGCCAATTTCTTATCCCGTGGAGAGACGCGCTAGCTGGGTCTCTAGCTCAGATTGTGTGTGTGTGTGTGTGTGTGTGTGTGTGTGTGTGACAATTGTCCCCCGCCCCTCACCTCCTCCTCCGTGCCCCCCCCAGACCCGTCAAGATAAACCTAGGGGCTCATTCAGGCAGGCAGTCAGGAGCTGTAGAACCCAAAGCGTGTGATTTTTTATTTCCCGTCCTTCCACATTCCTAATGCTTGGCCCCAGTGAGGCGGAAGAACGTTGTGCTGCCTGCCTCCAGGTAGAGACCTACTGCCTCAGTGAGAAGCTTGGGGAGGGGCGGGGGCGGGGCTGGGTAGCACGTTTAAAGACCACAGGCCCCTCAAAGAGTAACTTTGCTGCTATCCTGTGAACGTCAATTGGCGACTTATTTATTTTGCACAGTAAATGTAACAGGTCTTTGCATCATTACAAAAAGGAGATTCTATACCCATCCAGAAACTCTTTTCTATTGCCCGACTTAAAGATCTTGAAAAGAGAAGGGAGTAAGAGCCCTTTAACGGCCTTGCACCTAAAACTGCCCCAAAAAACATTAATACTGAGTCAGAAAGACCTGTTACCCTGGCGTGTTTTTCAAGAATCTGGCAAAAGTAAGGAGTCTCTGCCAAATGAAAAGCTAGAGCAGGGAGCTTCAGAAGAACGGTGGAACTCTTCAAAGGAGCAGAGCAGAGCATTGATGGGAGGAGGGATTCAATTCCTTCTTAAGCTGCTTCAAACAGGAAGGCGTTTAGCCTTGACATTGCTGACATAGGATCAACGATTGATTTATCAGAATGATTGTTTTTCAATAAAATGACTATTTCTGTTTCTGTGATAAACATTATTTATTTCCCAGGCTTTTTGTCACATTGTCTCTCTCTCTCAGCTGTCACTTAAATATATTTTTTGGAAATCACAGCTGAAACAATTTTATGATCATATAAAATAATGAAAATACAAGAAAAGACATTCTCCTTGTTTGATCGCTTCAAAAGACACCTATGGCAGCTTGGGTTATATAAAAGTACCTTTCTAAACATTTCACAACTAATAGAGAACATCTGGGCAGAGATGATGATGTATTTTTTTTTTGGTTAAAGTTTCTTTTCAAAAGTATTTTATGGAGCTATAACACTGTTTGATTCTTCCAAACATTTAGTGTCCTTAATAACAATAGAAATATTTTTTCCAAAGGTCCTTATAAAAGCCAAGAAGAGCTGGAAAATGGAAAATTTAAAGGATTCTTTAGTGAGGGAAGAGTGGCATGTCTATGAGGAAAGTGTAACATCAGATACCAGCAGGTGTTGATTAGACAGCTACAGACAGTTTCTTAACACATTTAAACATTAGGGTCAAATAAATGGGAGTGAGGAGCTTTAAAGGTCAGCTTTCCCCAAAGCCATGTCCAGACATATTTCATCATTGAGATCAGAGCCTTCTTGGGAATAGCCTTTGAAGGTTCTTCCCAAAGATGTTGCCCCTCCCCACTCATTCGGTTCCCTGACTCCTCAGAGCATCAGTTGCTGATTCTCAATTCATGTCCAAGACAGCCATCACTCCATTTCGAGGTGGCTTCTATCATATTACTCCCATGCCTGCAGTGTCGCTTCTCCATGGAACTAAAATGAAATAACCCTTGCTTTCTAATATCCTCAAAAGGATAAGGAATTCATATTTGAAAAGTGCTTCGAACCCCTCAGTCTCCTGGGAAATATGGCTCCGGACCTCAAGGACAGTGTTCTCACCCCTGTGTTGGTCCTTCCCAGGTACATGAGAGCTACAGGTGGCTCCTCCAGGGTGATGTGTGACAATGTGCCAGGCCTGGTGAGCCGCCAGCGGCAGCTGTGCCACCGAAACCCAGATGTGATGCGTGCTATTGGCTTGGGCGTGGCTGAGTGGACGGCTGAGTGCCAGCACCAGTTCCGCCAGCACCGCTGGAACTGCAACACGCTAGACAGGGACCACAGCCTCTTTGGCAGGGTCCTGCTCCGAAGTAAGTCTTCTGCCTTTGGGCATCTCTTTGGGCTCTCCCCACACACACTCTTCCCTTTTATGTTTTTCTTCAAAGTCTGTGCTCAGTTTTTTTGCATTTTATACAGTCAGAAGCTTGTTCTGTTGGGAGTATTGTCTCTGTTTTATGGATGAGGACTTAAGGAATCAAAGAACTTGTCTAAAGTTTTGTAGGAGGCTAGTCATAGATTGGAATGCAGACTCCTGGGCTGGTGTCTTTTTACTCTTTGCTCTGTCCATTCAGTCATGTCACAGCCTTACCTGTCCCTCCAGGTTCAGGTTTTGTCTCTTGGAGAAGGGAGGCAGTAGCCACAGGGCTCTTTTGATTTTTAACTCTTCTTTCTGGGACTTGAATCTTCCAGAAGGATTTGAGCAAAAGATAAGGATGGAATGCCCAAATATTTTATTAGTCATAGTCATTATTTCAATGACACATGTTACTGGGAACCAGAGACAAATCTCTGCACACCACCTTTGATTTCCCATCCAGCTATTCAGCTTTGGGTCCCACTGTGTCTGAGTTAAACATTTTCTTTTAGTCGACTGTAAATTCTATATGGCAGGACTAGCCTGCTATCCCTGCACTTCACTTGGTGCCTTTTGTGTTGCAGACACCATTCATTCATTGAATGGTTGAGTGAATGAATAGATTAACTTGTAGTGAATGCCTGTTATTTCCCAGGTACATTTTAGGCAGAAGGGTATTTATGGAGGATAGGGGTATGAATTATTAATACTTAGAAGGAGTATTAAGCATTATCTAATTACATAATAAACTTCTTAAAAGTCCTGAATGTGGAAAGTAGCCCACTAGCTGGTATGCAGTCAGAGAAAATTAACTGCAATAAACATTTTATTTTCCAAAAATATTTGTTCCTTAACCTAGTGTTATTACCATTTTCCAAGAACTAGCACATCCCATTTGGTACTGAGAAATCTAATCAAAAACACGAAAGATTTTGTGTGAACCCCAGAAACAGAAAACTTTACATTTGTTTTTGTGCACTCCATCCCCCCATTCCTAAGAAAATCATCCAGGCTGCGCACTTGGTAATGCTTAACAGAGGGTGTTTCTACCATGTAATCATCACAGCCCCAGGGTTTTATGAGGCCAAATGCATAACTGAATGTCTCTGAAATCCCCCAAGGGCGTAGTGCACTCACCCTCAGTGTATCCCTGAAGTAAATTTACTGCCACATTCTGAAATTTTATTCTCTAGTTTAAGAACTATATTCTTCTGCATTTCATTTGGAGTTTTGATATGACCGCAAATTTTTGAAAGGTTAATAGTGAATTTCAACAACATGGAATTTTCAGACTTCACCTAGATTAGCTCACCAGTGAATCAATTAAAGTACTGGAACTTGACAAAGAGAATTTGTAAATATTTAGCACAAGACATTTTCGGATGTATTATGTACAGGCTCTTGATGTTTAAGATGTATCATGGTTTTTCCTTCCCAAAGTCTTCACAGTTTCCCAATGTGTACAAATTAAAGGTCCTTCTTATTTATAAAATGATCACCTTTAAATTCTGTCTATGAAAATCTATTAAGATATATTCATATGGGAAAAACCTTTTAGATCACAAATCAAAGGATGTAATTTTGATCACTGATCCTCAAGGTCTGCCAAATCTCAGGATTCATTCATAAAATACTTTACTTTAATCTTGACAATGTTTGTTTCTTCAGAGCTATGCAGTGCTGAGAATGAAGAGGCTGGAACTAGTCTGACCTAGTCTAAGGCCTCAAGTAAATAAGAGATTCTAACTGGTACTTCTTCAGAGTTCTTTCAGATGAAACTTGAATGCTTTGCCAAAGTACTCGAAACTTAAAACACTCATGCTACACAATTTCTTTCCATTCTTCACAGAAGGCCAGATTCTCCTGGACATTAATGTAAACTTGTATGACTATCAGTGATGATTTTGCACTGGTTCTGGGAGGGCTGAATTTGGCCTAAGGTAGCTTATCCTGGAAATAATAATGAAATTCCAGTGAATCTATCCAAAGATTTTTATAATTAATTGCCTGGCAGGAAATTCACATCTTAGAACTTGCCTATAGAAACCTAAATGTCCTTATAGATGACTAGGAAGGCAAAGGGCAATGCTGTTTACAGGCAGAACATAAGTTACTAACACATCCCAAGGTCACAGAAAAATGGAGAACATTTGCCTCTTTCGCTTCAGACAGCTTCAAGTAAGAAAACCATTTTTAGGAACATTTGCATTTTACTCATTCAACAGACTGTCACCAATAACAGGCAGAGAAACTTAAGCCCATAAATATTTCTTCAAAAATATACCTCTAGAATTCTAGAAAAAGCCTTTTTAAAAGGTGATCAGGTCTCATTCCTACACATAAAAATAAAATTAAAAAGCAAGAATTTTAAAAGAGAGCTGAACCCATAACCTTCTGGAAAGCCTAGTTTCTAATGCTTTGCCCTTCCATGTAGCAGTCCCCCACCCCCAACAAAACCATGCCTGTGCACTTAGTAGACATTGCCTGGCTTATCTCAATCCAGGAATTAGAGAGACTTTAATAGTGACACATGAAGAGGTCTAAATATCACATTCAGATTTGGATTTTGTTTCATATTGTGAGGGCTCTTAAAAGAATCCATTTTTCTAAGAATAGTCTGAAAATAAAAATTTATTTTGTTAGAAAGCCAACTCTTGAAATGTGCTACTATTTCACAAATATTTTAGTGATTCATGTAAGATACTTGACTGAAAACATCTTAGGGCCACATCTAACATGATACCAAAACATCTGGAGGTACAATGAAAAGTCAGTCCACGTACTAAAATTTTTTAAAGATTTTATTTATTTATCTTTAGAGGGGAAGGGAAGGAGAGAAAGAGAGAAATATCAATGTATGGTTGCCTCTCATGGGTCCCCTGCTGGGAACCGGCCTGCAACTCAGGCTTGTGCCCTGACTGGGAATCGAACCGGGATTGTGTGGTTCAATTGCCCAAGCTCAATCCACTGAGCTACACCAGCCAGGGCAAAATTTTAAAAATAAATAAGTAAACATCTAGCTATTTACTAATGTGCTTGAATAATAAGTGAAAAATATTTTGAAAGGTGATATTTGTGCTTTGAAAATTATTTCTGAAATGTAGCAGATGTTAAGTGATTTTTTTTCTTTCAGCCTAGTGCTAAGTACATTAAGCATGTGGGAATTTTCCCACTATGTGATATCTCTAAATGTGGACACTAAACTCCAATCCAAAACCAGGCTTTTGCAACTCAGTGGGGTGACCGCTGACAAGATATTTTCCTAAACTGTAAAATGGGTATAATAAAAATCTCATTTATCTGAGAGCCACCACCTAAGATTAAGCCACATTAGCACCTGTTAGTTACCATCTTTTACAAATACCTCAATTTCATTTGGAAAATATGTGATCCTTATAATATAACCTGGAACTCTAAAACAGCTCTTACAACCATTGCATTTCTCTCTGGAGAGCGTACCTGCTACCTATGGCAAATATTCATGTCATTGATTTTACCTAACTACAGAGTGGGACTGATTTCTTTTTATGATGGTTAAAGGTTTGCAGAGAGATATTTTTGGAAGGCTGAGGTAAGTGCCATTTAATATGGTGTGGATACGTTTCCCTGATTTTTAATAATGAGACTAGCAGAGCAAATATTGCAAGGGGCATATAATAAATTTTAGCACTGAATGACAAATGGAACCAAGCAGGGCTTCGACAGGAAAAGGTGGTTTGTTCTCCCAGCTGTGTGATTCAAAAAGTCACACTTGTCTTGACATGTTGAATCACCAAATGGCTTTCTGTTTTCTGCCTTGCTTTGGCAAGAGGTTGTTCAGCTTCTATTTTGGTTGTTAATATATTTGCTGCAGCAACCATTAATAAAAAGGCATGCTAATAACAATGAAATATAGCTCCACTTGAAAAATGAGGTGCACTCAGACCCTAAAGAGCCTTATATCTGTCACTATACCACGACACTGTGTTATGAGTTACTACAGATTATTAAAATAATGTAATGTAGTTATTGCACTGAAATATGTACCTTTCAGCCTATAAATGAAAGTAGCCTATGCTAATAAAGAACAATTCTAAGAAAGCACCCCAAAGGGTTCTTGCCCAAGTCTAATTATAGTGGTAAATTTGTTTCCTTCCAGAAAAACCAAAGAAAAGCGTTTCACTGTCTTTTATCCAATACCAGTGATTAGTGCAGGTGTTCCAGAAGAAAGTACATTCACCTTAACAGTTAGATATACTATGTAACTCTGGGATATTGCATATCACCTGTAACAATCTCTCAATTACTTGTGAAAGTTAATGCTAAGCCAGAGCTCTCCAGTGGCAGGGCTAGTTACTGCCTTGAATTCTCTTCCCATCTCAGCCCCCAGATTTTTTTAATTCAGTATTTCAATCTTGATCATTTAAATGCATATATATGTCCTCAGTAATGCCTGGAGGCTTGAGAGGTTTTATTCATGTAGTAGCACGAATACCAAAATACATTATGGAATGATAGTATTGTAAAATTCAAACTGTATGTTAAAGATGGAAAATAATGATGTTACACTCCCCTGTTCTAGAGCATATAGGATTCTAGGTTAAGCAAGCAGGTGTATGAGAGACTAATGTGAAGTCAGAAGCTGGGCAAGGCAGGCTTCTGCTGCATTTTCTTTTATAATCTCTATTGCAAGTAAGGACAGTCCTCATACAGATATCCTAATTGACAACGGTTTATGTCAGATGATAATGATTATATTAAAGAGCAAGCCTTGGACCTAGAAAAGAATCCTTTGAAAAAATCAGTACTTTTTTCTCTAGCGTTGAAGTATGCCATCATGTGAAAGTTATCCAGAACTAGTAACTCCAGAACCACTTTTAAGAAAAGCGTTTTTGTTTCAGGTAGTCGGGAATCTGCCTTTGTTTATGCCATCTCCTCAGCTGGAGTTGTATTTGCCGTCACCAGGGCCTGTAGCCAAGGAGAATTAAAATCCTGTTCCTGTGACCCGAAGAAGAAGGGAAGCTCCAGGGACAACAAGGGCACCTTCGACTGGGGTGGCTGTAGTGATAACATTGACTATGGGATCAAATTTACCCGAGCATTTGTGGATGCCAAGGAAAAACAAGGCAAGGACGCCAGAGCCCTGATGAATCTGCACAACAACAGAGCTGGCAGGAAGGTATGGACTGCACTGCTTCTCATTCTGTGGCCTGTACGGCCTTGTACTCACATGGCACTTATCTTATCTTAAACTTTCATAGAGTTGATAAAATGCCATATAGTCACAAATTCCCACTGTCCCCCAACCCCAAACACCTTGTCCTAAAGAGTACCACCAACTGGGTTGAAATATCTCATCCATACTCCACCCTCCTTCCCACAGCTGAGCTGAAGGAGTACACCCACTGATTTTGGCATTGTGTAGAGTCAAGTATTTTATGGTCCCTTTGGATATTGTATCGTCTAGACAGAAGATATAATCTGTGGGTGAGGCTAGCTAGTGCTTCATCCATGCACCAATGGGACATTGAATGCTTGTATCTGAAGGATATGAAGACCCAGAACATCTTCTCAACCACATCATGAAAGCGACTCTTTAAGCATTGGTTTACTGGCTTTTCTAGAGTCCGGGATGCTTTTTTTTAGAACCAGACTTATGTTGGGATTCCTGGTACTGGACGAGTAGGTAGACGAGGCAGAACATGGCCCTAAAGTGGTACTTTAGCTCCTTATCCCCTAGTCCTTACTAACCTACCGGACTGTGGATTCACTGGTCAGTATTCATTCTCTACCACCCATTTAATAAATGAGGAAATAGGTCTGCAGGTGCTCAAGGTTACATGTAGGTCAGTAAAAAATTCAGGACTAGATCTCAGCTTTCAACTCCTAGCCCAAGGGATCCATGGCCTAGGATGAAACTATTAAAACGGCAGCACTCAGATCTGTTGATAAGCCATGTCATTCTGCATGGTGGCATGACCAGAATAACTAGAAAATCTGCTCCACATTATGCCTTTGGTAAAAAGCATAAACTGGCTGGGCTAATCAAATATTAGTCAGAACCATCCTAGAATAATGTAACTGCCAATGAGAAAAAATAATCATAATTTGCCTTTTGTCAACACAAAATTAAACTGTGCTTGATATTAATATATAAAGAAAGTTCAGCATAAAACTGATAGGTCTGGGAGGGTCTTTAATATGAAAGAAATAGAAAAATACAGATGTTTGGGTGGGAATTTTTTTATTAAGCTCACAGACACACCACATCTCATTTAACAGGAATAGGAAGGAAAGAAGTCTTATTTAGAACATGGGATGAGATGCATGTGACCTGAACTGTTTACAAATAGTAGCTTTCTTTAACTTCAACAGTCAACGGACCTTATTTTCATGAATTTAAGAATTTGTAGTGACCACTGCCAAAAACATAGACTATGGTTGTGCATTCCTACAACTATTGGTAATTACTGCTTGTGCAATAGTTTGGATAAAGGAAAATTTACATTAACCTTTGTTTTGACATTTACACCGCATGAAGTTATAAAGTGTGGTGTCTTAGATAGAAGTGTGCTGCTTAATTACTCAAGCAGGAAATATAATTAGATCCCTAAGATTATTTGTAAAGATAAAAGCATATGGTCATACACTGCATCCAAAAGAATGTTGACTCATCAAAATAAACGTTAATTTTTTAAAATAGGTCATTAGATATTGAATGTTTCAACTCTTCAAGACAACAGACCTTAGCTATTATCTTGTAGGCTCTGAGTAAACATGACTTTTAATGTAACTCACGTGATTCCTCACTGTGTAGTGGTGAACAGCTGTCAAGCCTCAGATACTCTCCTGCCTACTCGGCAAAACTGAGGAGGTTACTTTGGATTGGAATAAAAGTGCACACACTGACTTTTTAAAATGTGGCTTTAATTAATGGTGGGTGGGCAGACTTTTTGAAGGAGATGCATGATGTCAGTGAATATGAACTTTAATGAGAGTAAATGTATTGAGATAAACATGCATCTCTAATTCTCTTCCCGTGGTCATTAGATCCCTAGTCTTTACTCCCTCTTCGTGCAAGCAGAAGGTCTCTGGAATCAAAATGAGAACAGTCTGGGCTTGTGTTTGAAGGCAGGCCTTCTGAGTTAAGCCTTCAACTGGCTTGGCTCTAGAAAACCTTATCCACTCAGGGCTGACCACAACATCAGTTTATTTTTATTTCTTCTTTGTGTTTTCAGTATTTCCCATGTTGTCCACTATGGATATCTTCTTTCTAAAATGGTGGTGGTGGCATGGGGGGAACCAATACATTTTATTTAAAAGAGAAAACATCTATTCTGAGGTTATTCTGTGTAACCAATGCTGTAATTCGGAATTCAACACTGCCACTCACAAAAGACCTTAATTTTTCCCTAATATTTGAGCATTTTGATTCATTTATTGTAACAGCTGGTTACAGCACCCTCATGTGTCTCAGTATGGTAATATCATTTTAGATCTTTGATGCTGTTTTATCATGTTATTTTAATCACAGCTTCAGCAGAATTTGTAATGACATTTCTTTCCTTCATGTTTACTTGAAACTCATGTTTGATTGGGTCTTGTTTTCTACTTCCAAAGAGTTCTAAAAAGATAAATTTACCTTGTTCAACACAAACATTCCATCAAGAAAGACATTCCACAGCTTCTCTTAGCAGTTCTTTTTAGGTCTAAAAAAGTCATGCACTGAAAACTTCTAAATGATATTTTAGGGTAGGTTTAGGTAAATTACAAGCAAAAGATACTTGGTCGATGGCCACCATTTGTTCCCTTTCAGGATTTGAAAATGGCTTTTAAATTAGGCCACTCTTTCCTCTAGATGAATAATCACAACTTCTTTTACCTTTCCTAAGAGAATCTCTACCAAAATTATCCATGTATCCAACCAAACACAACCCCTTAATCACTGGACATTTTCATAATAATAATAAGAGAAATTCCATAGAAATACTTTCCCTAAAAGGTATCTATACTATGGTAAAAACAGAACATGGAATTTGAAATGAGAACCACCTTAGTCTTAATTGTGCAATATCAGTGGCTCTGCTCACTGAATTTCAGGTTCTGTCATGTGTAAAAACGTATTTTGTGGTGCTGTGGGAATACAAGCATAAAGCAAATAGCAGAGAACCTGGCAGGTGGTGGGTGCTCAATAAAAGTTTGTTCCTTTTCCTTTAGTGAAGTGAAGGTTATCTATAACCTAGGCAATAGAGGTAGGCACAAATTCAATTTTAACTATTACTTAGTTCAGGTTGAACTATTCAATCTGATCACTCCATGTGTCCATAGATTCATATGTGGTACAGTTTAACATACTAATAAAAACCAGTCATATAATAGTTGCTAATGTGCAAAATACTGTTAAATGTTTTATGATTTAATCTTTTGAAAACCCATATAGGAACAAAACAAAAGTATTAGTAGTACTATTTTTCAAATGAGAAACTGGGTCTCAGAAGGATGAAGTGACTAACTCAGGGTTACACAATTATAAAGTACTGGGCTTGGAGGTTCAAACACAGTTGTGTTCACCCTTATGTCCTTACCTACCTTTCCATGTTGTCTCTGTTGAGAATTTCTGACACACACACACACACACACACACACACACACACACAGTACTTTCATATTTAAAAAAAGAAGCAGCAACAGCCACCACCCTTGAAAAGTAGTTTACCAATTTTTTTCCCTTTGTGTGTGTCTTTATTTTATAATTTTTCTACAATAAATATGTATTTTTAATTTTATTTTATGTGTTCATTGATTTTAGAAAGAGGAATGGTGGAAGAAAGGGAGGGAGAAGAGACAGGGGAGGGGGGGGAAGTGAGAGAGGTCAATCAGTTGTCTTACATATGCTCCTCAATCAGAGATTGAACCTGCAACCTAGGTATGCACCCTGACCAGGAATCGAACCTGCGACCTTTTAGTGTATGAAATGATGTTCAAACCAACTGAGCCAGCTGGCCAGAGATGTGTTATTTTTTTTAAGCAACAGGGAAAACATTTTAAATGTCAGATACATAACTGCTAATAATTGTGAAGGGCTCCACTCAATTTAATCTTTTTCAGTGGATTCACAAAATTTCAACTAATGACCCTACAAGTTTGAGAACTCTATTCCTGTATGTTACTGGGCTAAATTGTCTCAATGGTTAGTTTATTAGGGAATTAACTCTGGGAAAAGCACTATTTGTGGTACTAAGTTATTTGTGGAAAAGTGTAAGACTAAGACAAAGAATCTGCTGACTGTAAGAAACTAAATTTTAGTCAGGGGACAAGTGCAATACAACTCTAAGGCAAGCTCTAAGCTAGGTGGTGGAACAGGAAAATTGGCCAAAGGGCCAGTTAGCTCAGGAGAGAAAGGTTTTATCTGAAACAATTGGGTGGTTGAGCTGGAAATAAAGATTTTCCTTGGTTGAGACAGAGAAAATGTTTTTTGGGATGGAGGGACTACAGGAGCAAAAAACATACTGGGATGGAAAGAACACCAGAATTGAGGAATGACAAGTGTTCTAGGGTAGAGCTCATAACTGGGAATTAATAGAAACTGAGGCTGCAAATTCAGGTCTCAGCCACATCTGGAGAGCCTTGAATGCTGTGCTAAAGATACTTGGATGTCACTGTGAAGCAATAGGCAGGTACTGAACAATTGTGGGAGGGGAGGAATTGAATACCTAAGTTCCATTCTTATGCATTGCTAATTTCTCTAGAGTCCACTTTAAGTGATAGATTTCAGAGTTCAAATTTCTGTGATATATTTGAATTAATGACTTAAAAATACACTTACTAGAAAAATTGAGATATTTCTACCTTCTTGCATTTTATTTTCAGCATTAAATAAACATAGAAAGATCAATATAGATAGTAAGCTTCCCAATGTTTGTTAATTAAAAGTTGGCATATGTCAACTGTGTTGATATTTATATTTTTAATATAATGTTTACATTACTATTGGCTACTTTGAACATTAGGGGTTCTTACCTATTAATGTCATCCTGACTGAAGCAATATGAAGGCTGGGGTTCTGGAATCAGAACCCTGGTTCTAATACTTCAACATGATCTTGGACAAGTTACCTAACAAGAATTGCTATCTAAAATAAAATATATACATATATGCACCAGGTTTTAAGCAAGCCTA